GATGCCCGAGTTATTTCTATTGTGACTTAACGTCGAGTCTCAGTGGTTCGTGCGGTGAATACGGGTCTGATACTGTGTAAAAAGGGAAGGGCGGCGGCGGCGGTTCAGGGAAGGATATATGTTTGACGACTGGACCCGATTGTATCGGGCACAGGCTCGGTTGCGGTTCGTCCATTGGCAGATGGATATCGCGGCCTCTTAACGGATTTACGATCCGCCTTATCTCACAAAGGCACCGACGACCACGCACCGCGAGATCGCTCGGATCCTATCTATCGCTTAACGATTTCGTTCTGGACTTTACCTGCGCTCCTCCGCCTCAATGCCAACGATTGTCCGGCCGGGCGCTCGAGCCGGGAAACGATATCGTTTAGATACCCGATTGGCAGCGTCCGGAGATCGCGAGATAGCTCGATCGTCCTTCGATTTGTTGCGCGAAACGTATTACGCATCTAGAGAGCGACGGCTACAGTCGTAATACCGAGTGTCGCTCTTGCTAAGTACTCAGTGAAAAGGTTCACGTTCCTCATTATAAAACTTGGAAAACTAGCTCTCGTTGGATGAATTCCAATTGGCCAGCAAAGAGACGGGGTAGAATCTTTTTATAGCAGACGCGTCAATAAAGTGCAGAAGTCTCCTCGTTACTCGACGATCTGACAATGGAAATCTGCCAGCGAGGTGTTCCGACTTGGACGGAAGTCTCGTCCCGCGATCTCCACCTGGAAACCACGCATTACCGAGCATTACTCGCGCCCGATCACCGGACAGTTTACGCCGCCAGGCCCGATTAATGCTCGTGGCTGGGAGCATGGTTCAACGATAGACGCGCGGCTCGGAACTAGCTAGGAGCCGGTTTCAGCGGTGGACGCGGGTTTCGGTGGCGAATGCGATTTACATATCGGCCGGTCGGTCGTTTCGAAGCGTTCGCATGCGCGAGCTCGAATTACCGCGAAAACCGAGGGTGCACCGGTCCGCTGGTTCGCCGTGAAACGCACTTGGGTGGTAGATGCCTCGATAACGCCCGTGCACGCACCTTCGCATGCACGTGTATCGAACGGCTATCGCGAGATTCGTTCCCCGGCTCGATTTTATCCCTTTTTCGTCTCCTACAGTAATAAGCGCGAGTGCAACTGATATAAACACTGTACGTAGTTTTTGCTGATACGAGACCTGGTATCGAGACTCTAAATTAAATCTTGAAACAGGTTTGCTATTATTCTCGATGGTTATTTTTCTAATTCCGTCGATCAGCGCTTCGGTAGTGCGAAACGCCGCACTCACCTGCTGCGTGGCTGCCTGTTGCCGTAATAACGAGAGAGAGGAGAACGCGTCCATTAAACTGTCGAATTTATCGGACAGCAGCTCGTAAAATCTGTGGCAGAAATTCTCGTAGTCTCCTGATTCGCGGACCCTCTGACAGAATGAATTATAGCCGAGCTCGAAATTCGCCATTCCTTCTCTTTATCCAATCTGAATATAAGAGTCAGTTAAGAATAATGACCGCTTAAGGATGTATTGGCTATATAGTCAATCCCAAAAGATTATGTACCTTAGAAAAACGCATTTCCTATAATTAAAAAGA